ATCTCACCTGTCAAAATATATACTGGTATTCCATATTCAGGATGATTGTAAAAATGACCCATTATGATCAGGTTGAGTGTTTCCTGTTCTAACTATTTATTTCAATAACACAACAATTATATAAACAGCTATTTAAAAACACAGTAAGTATTTGAAGTATTTTATCAGCTTGACCACATTGTATTATAATTGACCATTGTTTTCCGTTCATCCATTAATAGTTGACCCTTTATATAACATTGTTCATTATCATCATTTATATTTCCTTCCTTCCTTGCATACACAGGCTCATATATCACTCTCTTATTTGAATCTCAAAAATCAATGAGCCTGGTGAGATAAACTTATATAAATATAACTGGTAAGCACAACAATATATATATGAGCAAAAGCCCATATAGTAGTAAAATCCGAGTTCCTGTAGCAAGCTAATAAATAATTTCAATACCAAGTCTAGTATTTGCTATGATAAGTCAATTCTGACCTACGATAATGCCTTTATTATGTTGTTAATATTGATTTTTGTCTTCCAGCCCAAACTATTATATATAATTGTTGTAATTTGTGAAATTCCATCTGGGTAATAGTTTCTCTAGTGTATAAACCTTGTCCTATTCTATTTATATAAATATTCAATGTTAGATTGATGGTTGCATGCTGCCTATTTACTATCTAAAAGGAGTGGTTTGATTTGTAACTTATTTAAACCTATTTTGTTATCATCTAAATGATAAAAGAGGGTGAAAGCTCAATCTAGAATGCACTGGTGGTGGCATCAGGGCATTTTGTTGCCTTGTGTGCATTCTAGAAAGAGGATTTGAACCTGCCACAAAGAAGTATTATATTATTATATAGCTGTCTATAGGGCATAAAACCTATGAGGAAATCAATCCTATTGTGTCATGATAGGGACTCAATCCAGCAGTAGACAACTACTAAACTTTACTTCAGCCTGCATTTACACTCCTCTGTCCCTGGATCATAATCTCTACCAAGAACAATTTTGAATTGATTGAACTGCAATCATCATTAATATTAAGAATTATATCATCTATTTGTGCTATGATCAAAACTATTCACAAATAATATTTTTTTTTGTCCCTTGGGAGCCAACAAAGTCCCTTAAAATGTATACACACACCTTGTTTTCAAAAAGCATGAATCCTTCCTTACCTTTTAATTTCCTACATCTCCTATCCATTGTTCAGAAATACTAACAAATCACAGATTCATATATGGTTCAAAATGAAAATTTTAACTTTTAACAATGCTTATTCCAAAGATCCATAAAAATCATTCACTACCATCCAGTATATATTACCACAATGACAAAAATCAACATAAAATCAATTTTTTGGACAGTCCCTACATCTCAACCATCTACAAATCAATCTAAATTCTGTTTATATCATACAAATATATTCAAGTCATTGCAAATATAGCTAAGATTAATCATATTTTGATGTTGTAGGTTAGGCCTACATAGAAAGAATTTCAAGTTAATCACTCAGTTTAACTAATTAAAACCTATTCATAGTACATCTTTAATTAGAAACTTGCTCACTATTTCTATCATTATGAAATATCAGTAGACGAACACTTCATGTGTATTTTCCAATACATTGGTTTTCAAATATGCTTCTGAATTGGTCTTGATAGGATCCATTACAGAGTATTTTTTTGCAATAAGGAATAAAGGATGAGAGACACAAACTCAAAAAAACATTCAAACAGAACCCAAAAAAAAAAAAGTTTACACAATAATCACAACACTGCTCTATAAGCAATCACCTGCAATATGAAGCCACAAAAAGGTCTCTCCAAGAACTTGAATTATAAGAAATGAAAAGTTCAATAAACTTACATCTTTCTGATACTCAGATACTCATTGGAATGTTTACAATTTTCAAATCAAAAGCATTTAAAACAACAAATGATTGTTTAAGAATAAAAACTCAATGCAGGTAGATCTATACCTTCTGAAGTACATGCATGTGATAGACAATTTAAAAAAAAAACCCAATAAAATCGTGTAATCCAATTCCCATTTCTGGCATCTAACTATGCCAACCCTTATCTTAACCTCTGAAGTCATTTAAATAGATCTCCCATCTTACCCTTCAGGTAACAGACTCATCATGCCTTACATGTCTGGTAATATAGGTCACCTATTCATGGTATATCTGCATTTTTTGCCAATAAGTCTTCAACTTAGTGACACATTTTCCACAGAAATAAATATGTCTTATTGGTTTATTTTTGATAACTTCTTGACCAACTGAAATAAGTGTTAGCAATATCAGTGTGCTACCTGAAGGGTTAGATTTATTTTAGTGGCTCTTGGATTTTCATCTCTTGATATTTAAGATGACATGCTATTCAAATTTTACAGTGCACCTCTTCACTGGAACTAATGAGAATACAAAAAAATATCTTGCCAATTGTCTGTGCAGGAAAAGGAAAAAAGAGAAACACAGAGAAAATAAAGTGAAAGATGCAAGTTCTAAGGAGGACTATTTAAACTCTCAAACTCAGTGTATGGGTTTCTTTTGTCTTTCCTTTTGATTTGCTTGTGTTTACCTTTACCTCTTTTCCTTACCGAGCACCAATTCTAATGAACGAGCGTGCAGATTTCTCTCCCTAAAATTGACTTTTCTCCTTAGTCAATCCACATTATTACTATAATCAAAGATATATATGGTACCTGTACGTTATTCCTCACAGTGTAATTCCACAACTATGTGACAACCTTGGGGTCTTGGCTTCACTCTTCAGTAGGCTTACATATTCTTTGCAGATGTTGAATTTTTTATTACCCATTGAAAAAATATACATGATTGACAAAAGTCAACTCTTCCACTCTCTGCCAAAGGTCAGTTTTAAAAGACATAAATTATGTCTTCAAATCTTAAAATATACCAACAAGAGCAATAACTATGAATTCAAAATTCTATTCTATTCATTACTTAAAAAGACATAAACAATCATATCATAAAAAAAGTAGTTCTCATTTTTTATTACAAGTAAGAGTGTATTTTAATGATTAGTAATCCAATTATTATCATATTTATCTAGGCTAATGATTTTGATTCTCATCTTCATTCGAGGGATATTGAGTTATTAAAATTAATGTCTTAGTCTTAATGTTTTTCATTCCCAATTCTGTGAGGTAGTGATGAGTGATGACTGATGTCAGTGAGGAAGACCCAAGTCAAATTTGGTCCATTTCTGATGAATGATATCATAGAACTGATATATAATTTGTATTTTATGCTCTACCTTATAACAAGAATAACACTTAGACTCACCATTGTGTTCTGAAAATATATTTACTGCAGATGGTGCACGGGTTTCTTTTGTCTTTCCTTTTGATTTGCTTGTGTTCGCCTTCGCCTCTTTTCCTTGCTGAGCACCCATTCTGATGAACGAGCGCGCGGCTTTCTCGCCCTAAAATCGGCTGTTCTCCTTAGATATAGATTCATTAATCCACATTATTACATAGTCAAAGATTGATACTTTATTCTTCACGGTGTAATTCCAAAGTTTAGGTCATATTATTGTGCAAACAATGAAAAATACAGAATAATTCTCTACTTCCTTCATTAATCTACAGTCGCCATCTTGATTTCTCAGACTTATAATTGAGAGCGAGGCTGTAAACTTTGACCCTTCATTGGCCATTTTAGGGGAAAGTAAAGACTTTTCGGGGTTTTATGTCAAACTGCTTCATTTCTCTTGCTGAGAGATCATTGATGAGGCATACCGAAATTGTTAGCATAAGTCATAGATTTTCTTTCATCGCATTTATTATCTTTTTGACACACTTTGATGTTAGCTGGTCAAATGACATACCAGTATATCATAATTTGTATTAAGGAATTTTAAATTTTAAGGATTTCATGCAAATAAGGGTGTTTCAGAGCTGGGGAAATCACAACATACTATGCTTGGAAAAACAATTTGCAATTTAATGTTTTAGATAAACCCGATAAATATATGAGAGGTTATCTAACACCAATTGTTCTAATCATTTACTTTTTGTGGTCTGACAGCGACATTCAACGCAGAGTTGTTTTTTCTTAGGTCAAGGCCACAATGGTGGTAAAGAAAAATAAATAAATTACCAGGGCCATAAAACAGGTAGCCCACCAGAGAGTTAAGTTCTTTTAATCTAAAAAAGGAAGATTATCTTGGTATTCTCTTGGTCTTAGATAGTTCGATGATTTTTTTCTGTCACTTATACCTGGCGGTAGGTACGTCTAAAAGACATGATCATGTAAATCAATCATCATGATGACTGACAGTGACATTATCAATGTAGAGCTGAATTAACAATCTGTGGCTGTATCATTGTCATGAGGAGAGTCCATCATATAGAGTCATAAAAAATCATATTATATAACTATATGGTACATCACTATAGGTCTAGTCTATATTATATAATGTAAATGTGATACAGAAGTGAGAACTATCAACATCTAGATCTATTCTGCATTCTGTTAGGCCTATTGTTTTGAATCAGATTTTTCCTTTCATTTAGACATCATTTTTATATGTATTTAGGTAGGCCTCTTTGACTTAAGAATAACTATAATATGTTTTTTGTCTTGTGTCACAGGACAAATATGTATGCCTAGACTTTATCTAATTAAGTCAAGATTTTGTTAAACTCTCTACTGTAAAATAATGAACATCTTGGGGTCTTAGCTTCCATTATTCAGTAAGCTTAGGCCAATATCAAACTAAATTTATATCATCATTTTCTTTGCAGATGTTGAAGCTTTGATGACCCATTGAGATAAATATGACGTAACAGCTTTAATGATGCACTGAAGTTAAAGCAGCATTGATTTTATTCCTCAGCTGTTTCGATGCCATCATCTTTCAGCCAATGAGAGAGTCTTTCTAATTTTCCTCTATTTAGTAAATATAATTCAATATAGTGGTATTTGATAGACGTATAGAAAATGAAGAAGAAAGGATGTAAATGTGGTGCTAACATCCTTGTCAGGATATTCCATACAATATTATGTGTTGGTGTACCTGCTTCATTGTTATTCAAGGATACAAGTAGGTTCAAAGCTTTCATTAGTATTAGATATTATATCATGATTTCATAGTAATAATTATTTCGAAAAAAAAAAACAACTATCACAAAAATTATATGATTTAATGGCTGCTGTTGATAAAGATTCATTGCAGAATAGATACTCAACACCTGGTTAGCTGTTATATTAGGAAAAAGACACCAGGGGGAATGATGACAACATAACTATCCTAGCTTGTTGTTCAGCTTTCCATGTTCCATTATTACTGATCAGAGAGTCACATTGCATCATTAAATTTATTACAACTTTTATTGTCATCAAGAGCAATTTCTTGTCTTTTAGAAATTTTCATATAAAAAATATCTGAATTATAATTGTAGGGGGATTTTCCCAAACAGTATTGTGACATGTAAGTTGTTAAAAACAACACAATAAAGATAAGCCCTACATGCTTGTCCAACATGGTAAGCTTATATCATGTAATTAATTACACCAAGTGATAATGAAATTATATAACTATATATGTTATTATTTTCAGTATTGAAGAAAGCAATAATTGATATGAATAATTTGATATATGGTATAACATATTTATTACTGGTTATATTATCATTATCAATGTATTATACAGCATGTTTTATTGATCCTGGATTTATCCCATTTCAAAACAAAGTGAGTTCTTAATTTTAATATTTTATGTTATTGCTTATTACCTTGTAGCCAGGCAATGAAACCTTAAAACATTGTGATGTGTTGCTGTTTCCATCAAGTGAACAACATGATGAATGAGGCTTTGTTGCATGAATTGTGTATCACAGGATTTTCTTGAAACAGATCACCATGTATTTTTGCAAGCACTCATTTTCAGACAATAGTCTGTCGTTCGTTAAAGACTGTCAAAGGTTGAATGACACCATAGAGTTTTTCAACCTTGTTTTCTCCTGTTTAACATGCAGATAAAACCTGTTTCATTTTATGTCTGATAAGAAAATGTTGAATTACATATGTCAAGCTGTTAAACAAAATCAATCAATAAAACTTTGCCAGCAGTAGATGCCTCTCTATCTCTTTGTGTTGAGATTCATATTTATGTCAAATGTTATATGGCCTAATTACACTGTGTAACAACATTATTTCATTATCTGGCAATCTTTCAGAAAAGATCATTAAATAACAACTCAGATGATGATGATGATTTTAATGATGATAATGATGAAGATAATAATGATGAGAACTGTAATATGATACATAGTGAAGACAGTAAGCGACTCCGTGATGCTAAACTTAAATACAGGAAATGTGATTTCTGTGAGATACAGGTAGGATAAAATGAAAAAATTAAATGGAGCAAATCAATGCTATAAGTGTCCCCAATACACATTAAAAGTTTAGGAAAGCTCTTTACAATCCCTTTAATGATTAACAACTTTTACTGGAAAGTTGATTCTATTTGAAAGTTGAAACACTATATAAAGAAAAATGTATATTAAAATTCTAAAGTTCTAGTGACAAGGTTCAATTTAAGTGGTTGCACATCACAATTCGCAACCTTTAGGAACTGTGGGATATCATTTTAAACTTATTTCAATGGACATACGTAAATTTCGCTCAAAACTTACTATAACTAGGTTGTGATTGGAGAAGTCATTAACGAAAATGATCTTGACTTAAGCCCAATTTTTTATTCATATGTTTAAAATCACCTTGAAGATTCCATTATTTTTAGGATGTTTTGTATTTCAGCAACCAATGAGAGCCAAACATTGTGAAGATTGTCAACGGTGTGTTCGAAAGTATGATCATCATTGTCCATGGTTAGAAGCTTGTGTTGGAGAGAGAAATCATAAATATTTTCTCTTGTTTTTATTATCGACTACAGCTTTAATATTCTGGACTCTCTATATAACATGGTGAGATGAATTCTGAATCCACATTGAAATAGGCACCATATATTACATAACATGTATTCACTTTATTAAGCTTTTGTTATATTTTGGCTGGTTAACATTTCATTAATCAAAAAGCCTAAAACGAAAACTTGGTGAGTTCTTAAGTTAATCAACCTTTTCAGTTAGAGTTGAACTTTATTACAATCTGCTCAGTACTAAGAAAATTTCTGATGACTTGTAATCTTTAAAATTGATATTATTTTATTTCAGGGAGGGTATCCAAAATGAAGTTCACTGGTCTGATTGGTTTCATCAGAATTTTGTATTTATGATTGATATTATTATTTTAATATTTGGTGGACTCGTTGTGTTTGGGTTATTATTTTTCCACAGTTATCTGATGTGTCGTGGAATGACAACATGGGAAGCTGCGTCAAGGGAGAGAATCACCTATTTAAAATATCTGGATGATGAATATAACCCGTTTGATGAAGGACTATGTAAAAATATGTATTATTTTCTGTGTGGTTGTCATGTACGAGATTGGGAGACAATTTACACAAATAAAGCCAATGTTAAAGATGGAGGTATGGTCTAAAATAAGACAATGTGTTGCGGGTACTTGATATCTTAAGGTATTCAATAAACTAGTTACTGGTATCAGAATAATATATTTTTTAAATCTCTGGGAGAAAATAGCAACATATTATATATTAAGATAAAGATATTTATGCTCATCTGGAATAGAATTAAAATTAAAATGGCCACTTTATTTTGAGGTAATGGAAATAAAAAGTTCAATGTCAGCAATCTATTGGAGTCTTATATAAATATATAAATATGAATATTGAGCTTATCAGCTGGGTGAAATTCTGGACTAATTTAATTCTTTCAGTGTAAGTTATGACAATATATTTGGTCTTTTTTGTACTGATTTAGTTACATAAAATATTCATTCTGATCAAATAAAATATGGACTGTATTTCTCCAATGAGTGTAAATATCTTTGTATAACCATACAATGTCAATATATATCTAAGTGGATAAATATATAGATTTATATTATAGCTGGTTTTTTGGTCTTTCTTTATTGGTTTAAAATCTCAATAAATTTATTTACATATTGTAATATTATAAAACCAACATCAAAAACCAATCAATGCCAATAAATTAAGGTTATCATTTGTAGCATGATTTTGGTGACAGCCTTTTATTATTATCTCTTTATAAAAGGTTTTCTAGCTTTCATTAACCCATGATGTTATGAATAATTTTAAGCATTTATTTCATTGTAGCATTGAATTGGGTTGTTTATAAGAGGTTTTCCAGCCTTTTTATGTGTATGAAGGTGCTTATACAAATCAATAATTGAATCTTGTATCTTTACAAGGAAAACAGAATGCGAATCAGAATGAGAATCAGAATGGTACAAGTATAATAGTCTCCCATACTCATACTAAGGCTTGAAAAACTTTTTTGTTTTAGTGGACCAAATATTTGTTTGTCTGTAAAATGAATGAGGGAAAGATGTGTATGTGTGTGATGATACAGTTATTGAATATATTATATGTGGAGTGTGTTGAAAGAATAACTCTATCTTGTACAGCTACTTTTGTTTTTGTGTTCAAATAGTAAAGAAAAAATGTTCAAATTTCAAACTTAAGATGATTTTTTTTCATTAAACAGAAAAAAGATCCAAATGAATAAATTCAAGATATAATTGATCATGTTACTATGTTATTATCACAGAATTTAACAATTCAAGGGAGGTAAATTTGTTATGATGCAGCAATGTGTCAAGAGTTTACCTGTGACATGACTTGTTGTTTGTATTGACGTGAGAAATTGTCGTATATTATATAAAGCCATAACTATTTGATATGATAGAGTTATAGAATTTTTTTTTTAGTTTCATTTGCTTTCAATTCTGGGCAATACTTCCGCTTTTAATATTGCTGATTTTTCTGTATATTTTGTATTGAAACCATAAATCTGGGTCATGTGATTATGTTGACGGACTTCATCCCCACTTCATTATGAATTATATTATTAGTGTGATGATAAACTTCATTATGGATGATATTATTAGTGTGATGATAAACTTCATTATGAATTAGTATTAATTTGTAACCTTCCAAATACTCATCAGGATCAATTAAAGTTTTAATTTCAGACCAAAGGATAATTTACCTGCTCTTGTTATGATTAAGTCATGTGTTTTAATTGTTTTGTTGAACTTATAGAAATGATATGAATAAAGCTTATATTTGGAATGACAGTAAAGACAAATAATTTGTTCTGATTTATTTAAGGCTGGGGCTATTTACCACTGCTTGTATAATTCATAAAGCCATTAACTAGATTTGTTGAACTGGTAAACAATATCTCTATCCACCAGTCCAATAACATAGCCTATTACCAATCCGTCAATCCACCCTATATTACTAGTCCAACGACATCAATTACTACCGGTCAATCGGCATCTTCTAGTAACAGTCCCACAACATACCCTAAAACCCATCCAACATCTCCTACTACCAGTCCTTCAACACCCACTACTACAAGTCCGACAACAAATGTACCAGATTTGTTGAACTGGTATCTAAAAATGTTGATGAACTGGTAGTATGAGAAATGGTTGGATGTAAGACTGGTAGTGGAGGATGTTATTGGACTGGTATTAGGGGGTGTTGTTGAACTGGCAGTAGGCAATGTTCCAGGAATAGTATTTGGGGAGCTTGCTGGGCGGGTAGTAGGAGATGCTGGTAAACTGGTCGTTGTAGGACTAGGTTTCAGGACTTAGAAGTAGGGGATGGCGCTGGGTTGATAGATGTTGTTCGACTGGTTTTTGACTGAAATTAGAGAATATTTGGTATTGCTGTTGCACTGGTAGTAGGCGGTGTTGTTGGACTGGTAGTAGGGGATGCTGTAAGATTGGAGGTAGATGTTGTTCGACTAATGTTTTAGAACTGGTAATAGGGAGTGTTATTGGACTAGTATCCGGGAAGATAATTGGGCTGGTAGTAGGCAATGTTGTTGGACTGGTAGTAGGCGGTGTTGTTGGACTGGTAGTAGGCAATGTTGTTGGACTTGTAGTAGGGGATGCTGTAGGATTGGAAGTAGATGTTGTTCGACTAATGTTTTAGAACTGGTAATAGGGAGTGTTATTGGACTAGTATCCGGGAAGATAATTGGACTGATAGAAGGCGATGTTATTGGACTGGTAGTAGGGATGTTGTTGGACTGGTAGAAGTGGATGATGTAGGATTGGAAGTATATGTTGTTCGACTAATGTTTTAGAACTGGTAATAGGGAGTGTTATTAGACTAGTATTCGGGAAGATAATTGGAGTGATAGAAGGCATTGTTGTTGGACTGGTAGTAGGAGATGCTGTAGGATTGGAAGTATACGTTGTTCGACTAATGTTTTAAAACTGGTAATAGGGAGTGTTATTGGACTGATAAAAGGCGGTGTTGTTGGACTGGTAGTATGGGATGTTGTTGGACTTGTAGTAAGCGATGCTGTAGGGGGTGTTATTGGACTAGTATTCGGGAAGATAATTGGACTGGTAGTAGACAATGTTGTTGGACTTGTAGTTGGAGATGTTGCTGGACTGGTAGATGAGAGTATTGTCGGACTGGTGGAACGGGATGCAGACAGACCACGACACTATTTCACAATATACTCGCCAATTATTTATGATTGTATTGTTCATAAATTATAGGCTTAAAATTAATGATATTCAGTAAATTAAGACCAGAAATAACAATTATGCAAAGTTTAGCTTTTATCAAATGAAATACTGAAAGGATCTCTGGTTTCGAAAATACAAACTCCACTTTCTCAAAAATTACTTTTGTGAACAAAGAACAGTTTGTTCTCGATTGGCGTTTTCAGTAATTCAGGTAAACTTTGAATAGTTCAGCCTTACAAGTTACTCGTTCTTCAAAACGTGAGATGGTGGATATAGTGGACAAGTCAGACCAACAATTTAATTAAACGAACTCATTGTCTAAAAATATGACCAAGGACAATCTGTTAGACAGGTAACTAAGTTTTTATGTTAAATTAAGTAGTTTTGGTTACTGACGTGGCAATAGGCGGAATGCAGTGACAATAGGTGTAGACAGAGGAACATCAGCACCAAATGCATGATATGACTAGGTCCAGAGACATGAATTAAACTCAAATAACATAGAATACACTATCTATCTATAGGACAGGTGTTAGAGGAAGTTTATTGTATTAAAACATGATGTAGATAAAAGTTGACAAGTATGAGGATTTATGACAGTATTTTGCTGACAAAATAACTTGAATATTTTTACCGAATTCTGTGTTTTTATTCACAACTTACCCTCAATCTGTCGAGTTGGAAAATAAACAAGGGCGTCAAGTAACTTTTTATAACCTAGATTATCCTGGAATATTTCCAAATGTGCTGTGTTTTAACTGTATATTCTTCGTTCTATTTTTACAAATTGATGAATCAAGATTCCAGCAATATGCATCATTTTTCAGACTGAAAATCGGACTTACAGCTAGCCTTCAATTAAATGAAAAGTAGCGCATACATGTACATTGTAGAGTCGATAGTTGGTTATTATTTCCAGCCTCCAGCTCCTCATTAATTATAGTTAACTAGATGTGTAAAATTCGGTGAAATAGTGCAATTTATTTGTTTGTCATATAACTTGTGTTGCATTTAACTGACAAATGAATGAAAGCTGTTTACAGTGATCGGATAACAAGATCTGTATTATTCGTGTGGATATTATGTTCTTTATAGTAGTATCCATACGTTTTATGGATAACAAGTAATGCATAATGCTCACGGCGTTGCGATATGATACCATTAGTCGTCTGTTTTAAACGTGGCAAATTGTACAATGGTTATCGTTACATTAGTAAATTGTGGAAGTTCCCGAATTATCCAGATAACTTTCCAAATTGGATTAAAATATGATTTTTATTCGTCTAACCAGTGACACTATGTGTTCTTAGTATCTATTACCGAAATGCTAACCATGAGAGGTAGGTTCAAATTAACATATTCACACAGTTCGTTAAGTTGAAGAACGCATCCAGTAACGTGGTATATATTTTTTTAATATTAATTTAAAATTCTTAGTGAATTTTATCGTGAAAACATTTAAAAAAATCAAACTGTTGTTGAAGAGGTTATAACCAAATCAAAACTCAGATTCACCTGCACAACACTAATATAGTGTTGGCCATTAGAAGACAGAACTTCTGTTGTAATTACTGTTATACGGGTATGGCACACAAGTAATCGAGTTGATTTCAAAGGGGCAGCCACCTGCCCCTTAGCTAGATCATTTGACCGCCCTCTCTCTCTCCCCTTTGAACCCGGGGGACCTAATTGTGTCGATCTCTGTGATTTGTCTTGAAGTCCATTTCATAATAAATACTGGCTAAGATTTCCTGTGTAAATTTTGATCATTTTTTCCAGGAACTAGTCTGTTGAGGAGATTTTATAACCACCGTTGCTTTATGGTTGTATCTATATCCGGTTTACTCATTTACATTTTGATTGGAATTTTCATGAAGTTTCAAATCAATCAGCAATCTAAACCTATTAATTCAAATAGTAAACAATCTACATTGTCATCTACAGGTAAACATCGTTTATGTTTTACAAAGAAAAGAATCTCAACAGCTTGTGTTTTTAAAGATTTCGTCTAAGGGATGGACCTTGGTAGAACCTTTAGTCAATGATTTTATAAGTTTAACAGCTTAGATTCTTGTGGTTCTTGTCTTCCAGCTGGTCCTTGATCAAACCTCTTCGCGATGATTTTACAAGTGTAACAGCTTAGGTTCTTCAGGATCCTTTCTACAAGCTGTACCTTGACCAAACCTCTTCGCAATGCTTTCACAAGTGTAAGAGCTTAGGTTCTTGTGGATCCTGTCTTCCAGCTGATCCTTGATCAAAGTTCTTCGCAATGATTTTTCAAATATAACAGCAAGGTGTTCTTCGCAATGCTTTTACAAGTGTAATCAGTTGAGGTTCTTGAATATATTGTCTATCAGCTGGTCCTTGGTCAAAGTTCTTGTCAATGATTTTACAATCATAGGTTGGCAACTATCTATAATATACCATGATTGTTCCGCAATTATTCGAAAAAATTCCAGTTCTGATCCGGAATACCCTCGTGCTACCGGAAATGACTATTAATTTCTATTTTCTAGTGTTGCAGCCAGTATTGAATATGAACGTGAATCAGCACGAGAAGAAGGGGAGCAAGGTGATAATAGCGGCCTATATGAGAAGTGGATCAAGTATTACAGCTAGGATACTAGAAGAAAACCCCGACACATTCTATGTGTTTGAACCTTTATTAACGGTGGCCACAATGAGGAAATATTTTCTAACGGCAGTTTACAGTGATCAACCAATGCAGTCAGTAGCTTTAAATCTCACAATGGTCATTTTATGCTTTGAATTTGTCGTATCATAAGAAGACAAGTCTTGAAATCAAAGTCCGAAGACAGACATATTATATCAATCTAAACAGTCCCAAGTGCAGTAAAATTGAAACGGAACATGAGGTTTACTGCAGTAGAGTTTGTCATTCAATCCGGATTCTTAAAATTTACCTGTTTAATTTCAGAATAATGAGAAGAGGGGACGACAATATGGAAAAGATTTTAGATAGTTTTTTAAACTGTAATTTACATGAGATCAATTTGGAAACATTAGCTCAGTTTCATATGGATAAAAGTTCGTCAACTAGAGAGTTTTACTACTGTAGCCATACTACCAGAGCTTCACGATGGCGACCTGACTGTTTTTATCCTTTGCTTGGTGCGTGTTTGTCTAAAAAATACAGTGTGATTAAGACAATACGAATGAAGATTGCATCTCTTGAAAATCTTTTAGTCAAAGATCCTTTAATCAAACTCGTTCACTTGATAAGAGATCCTCGGGCGGTGGCCGCGTCTCAGATAACATCCTGGTCAGTAAAATCTATAAACCAAAACCGGATAGACGCCGAGATGAAACAAACAGTAACACTGTGTAGGACGATGCTCGAGAATATCCGGGCGAGTGAAATCTTGTTTCAGAAATTCCCTAATAGAGTGAGAGTCTTAGTTTTTGAAAAGTTTGCTTATAACCCGATTGAAACAACCAAGATACTATATGATTTTGTTGGTTTCAATTTTACCTATAAGATAGCTCGGTTTGTTGACTCGGTGACTCGGGCCGGAAGTCCTACCCCTTGTCCTTTATGTACCAGCCAGGGAAGTTCATACCACACCTCACAAAAATGGCGAACATTTTTCAACATTGAACAAGTTCGTAGATTTGATGAACATTGCTCAGAAGTGTTCCAAAGAGTCGGATTCACGAGGTTTCAAACACAAGATGATTTAGTGAATTTTAACATCATGTCCTGGCAATATCTTAATCAACCTGAATATATTGTTTAATTAACTAAAATTAGAATTTAAATTGTGTTTAAAAAGGTATCACCACTGTTTATTTAGCACCAAATTGCTGAAATGAAATATTTAAACAAACAAAATGATAATTCAAATATAGCAGTATGTACAGTAAATATGGACAGCTTTTAGAAAAAATCAACAACAAATGGTCTTATGAGTCCGCATATTTCGTTAAAATGTCGCTACCTTTATAGCAAGTACCAGATGTTCAATGAACATGTTCAAAAGCGATAATAGCAGTGTATCAGTGATCAATTTACTCATATCCACGAAATCCATTGATATCCATACAACTGTCAACGAGACAAAATGGTTTTCAATTGATGAGTAAGTATATTGTTTTATTTTGTTATAATATGTAATAATATTTATGGTAATAAATACTAATTGTATTTAGACTACGTTTCGATCAATAATCATGCTACAAATATTGATGGCAACGGATTTCTGTGGCAACAGTGAAAATGGAACAGGGTCTTTATGGGAAGGTCTCTATAGGAAATTTGTTTGCGATATCAGCATCCACTGGAAGCGAACGTTAACCTACCTAGGAAACTTTTAAAGATACGGCGAAACCTCTTCTAGCTGTTCCAATAGAGTTATAAAATCTTTTATTACCTTTCTACCATACACGATCATCACGTATAACTACTACATCATGACTTAGGTTCTTTCAGTTTCAATACCTTAAACTATATACTTTTGTATGTATTCATCATTAGATGATCACAAAATTTCTTTTCTTGTTCACAAAACTTTTTGATTTTATTGCTTGTACTAAGGCGGCCTGATAAAGGTAGCTTTAAGAATTCTTTCATAATAGCCACGTTATCATTTGCAGGCTTCAAATGTCTTGTAAGATAAGGAGGTGTATGTAATTATCAAGAGAGCTATTATGTGTCACATGTATACATTCACGAAATTTTTCTGTGTAAAACATGCATTATTCCATTGTAATAATATTGACAGAAAAGTCTTTCAATTAACATAAAATGCAAGATTCAAACTAATTCAAATAATTGACAAAAAATATTTACAATTATTGGCAATTTGACAAACACTTGGAATCTTCTCTAATATAACACCAAAATGTTCTTTTTGATCACATTAGGATTATCTCGATAACTATAGACTACACAGACATTCCTAATTGTAACCTCAGATGATCATTCGAGATGGTGAACAAAATTTTGGGAATTCTAATTTACGTGACTCTCGACAATTTACCATGTAGCGATTTTCCCCAACCAGCTGTTTTGGGACTTAAATGATTTAGCAGCTAGAAAGTCTATGCTGTAATGGAAAGGGGTATCCCCTCTTTTGAGTACCCAATTTATGTTGTATTCATGCAAGAAACTAACAGAATTATCACAATACAATGTCTTGGGTTAGCAACAACACCTTCTATTAAATGTCGCACAATTACTCTCAGTAACCTTCCATTACCTTTATCAATGTATATTTCTGGATGTAACACTGCCTATGTGGACCCTATAAAATTGGGAAACCTCAGTATACATTACACCTAAAATAATAAACATTGTTGGTATTGTGTTATTGTGCCATGAACAGGATGGCTATTATTACTGTACTATTATTATACT